CAGCTCTTCAAAAGGAAGTTTATGGAGCTGATCATCCTAGCTACCATTTTGACCAACAGCAAGGATTGAAATTGAGCTCTTCACAACTAAAAGACTGATTTTCCATAACTGAAGCAAAGAATCAGCCTCTGAACCTGAGAGTAAAGCTCGCCTACTGCTCAGGTTGGGCATAGAGGGAGATAAATAACACACACTGATGAATGGGTTACACACTCTTCTTGATCTTATCTACATATCCTAAAGGAAGGATATCTACTCCAGGAATTTGATAATGCATGTTGCCCATTTCTGTACTTTGTCCCTACGAATCCACGTTCTAAATATTCACGTTACAAAAGGTAAGGAATCAGACTCAGAACCTTGCAACACCGGTATAATACTGAAATTAAGTCCAGTGACTTTTAGGAAGTTAACTAAGATAAATCCAGAGCAGCTATGAACCAAATATTGTCCACAGTTCCAAAAAGAGTGAGCTCATCAAGAAAACTATTGTGAAAACATACTCTTTTTCCTAATTAGCAAGAGAGGCATATTTAACAAATGTGTATAATATGTGCACAATAATACATGTACATAATAATCACAAAAAATACTCATTCAATCTTTAGCAAGGCTTCAGAATGAGGCCTTCTCCTATTGGCTGTCAAATCTATTAGATATCCATTGGGTATTTATTAGTATGGACACATGGACTGGTGGAGTGGTTACCAGGTAGAATTACTACCCATCTCATTTAAATTACCTGTATGTTGCCATTAAGTGTCATCTTTCCTGCATCTACCGGTTCTCAACCACCAAACTCCCAAGAAAATTTCTACAGAAAACTAATTCAGTGTATAAAAATCTCATAATAAATGTAATTCTTCCTTTACCACTGTATTCATTAGTCACATAGCAAACCACTACCATAAACATATATATACATAAGATACACAACCATTGTACTTCATTCACTAACCAACTACTGTGTACTGGGCAGTTCTTACACTGAAATATTTGGGGTGAGATTTTAAAATCACTCTGATCTGTGATTTAGGTATTCAGTACTCATAACTTCAATGGAAGATCTGCATTTAATTCCTCTGTCAGCACTGAAAGCTTTGACATCGGTCTTTTTCCTTTTGTCTAATTCTGGCTTGGGAGTCAGCTGTGTAGAGAAACTTGGCAGCTGCAGGTTATAGATGCCAGAATATGGAATAATTCCCTCTAGCAATAAGCTTAAGCTTTACATCAACAAATCTTCTCTGTGTTAGCTGGCTCTTCTTCTAAATATGTCTGCATTGGGTCTGACCTCTTAGACTAGGGACAGAAATTATACATAAACTGATATAAGTGATCAGAAACTGGTTCAAATCTGTAACACAACAGAAGTTCAGTGCACTTAAACTGCTTTCAAAATGGCTGAAACCAAAATGCTGTACTAGTAGAGTAAAAAAAAAAAAAAAGTCTTTTTTAAGGTTTTTACCTACTGTTCCTCACCTGATGTTATTAAACTTTGTGATATTGAAGTTATTGCCATAGTAAGTCATTGTGAGAGCACAATGAGTTAGGATTCAGGCAAAAGAGCAATCCCATGCTTTGCTGAAATGTTCTGATGCAGTCGGTCATGAATATGCAGGCCTCTTGAATATGACTGCTTACAGACGTGGGAAAAAAACCTGGTGCTTTACTTTCAGCTTGGCGTGCCCCCGCACCAAGCACAGCGCATGCCCATAAGAGGCACTGCGTTAGTTTGACCCAGCTCACCCAATGCCTATATAGATTGGGTGCATCAGCGGAGTTATTGGCACTTTTATCTAATGGCTGATTGAATCATTAGATAGAAGCACAAAAAAGCCCTGCTGAAGTGCCCAATCTATACAAATGCCAGGGAGCCAGGCTGAACTAACGTGGTTCCTCTTCCAGTAAAGCACTGGGTTTTTTTGGGGGGAGGGGGGATGGTTCATGACTGTCAGTGCCCTATATGTTTAACAAAAAAGAATTAGCTATGTTACTGGGAAAGACATTGGTCACAGGATGACTAATCTTACTGACATTAGTCATAACATTTTACTAGGTTTATAGAATTAACTTGTGGAAAACGGATCATCTAAAAGTTTGCCTGTGGATATTTCAGCACAGTTCTGTAACCACATCAGCCACAATATAACTTTTTCTTAAATTTTGATTGCTTATTAGCCTTCATTGTACACGTATTTAACACACCCACAATTTTAGACCTTACACAGTAAAATTTGCAGCATTTAAATTTACAGCAGATACTAAAACCAGGCACATAATCAGCATTTCCTGTTTCCACAAAAAACATTATGTTGGATTTAATTTTACAGCTGTACAAATTGTTTTAAAGTAATCTGCTCAATTGGGCGAGTTAATGATATTCAATTTGACCAGGCCAAACTTTACATGCGTAGCATCACTCTGAGCATTTGCAGTTAGTGCAACTGTTTGTGTAATGTAAATGTAATGCAAAACGCATTGCAGAAAAGCTCCCGTTCTCAGCTGACTGATCAAAACACTAGTGTCATCACCTCTCCCAGCTTCTCTGTGATGAGCTTAAGATGACAGTGTAATAAGTGTTATGTGCACATGGTAATTCAAAAGAAATTTAGCCTTTTAAATTGATTAGGCACTGGATTGAACCCTCTTTTTTTTTTTAGGTACTTCTTATAGCTTCTTGCTATAGACAGTCTGTCAGCTATAGGCAAAATTCAGGTATTATCATCACATTGAAAAACACCTTACTCTCTCAGTAATCTCCACTTGTCCCAGTGGGGTTGTTTGTGAAATAGAGTATTATTCAGCCTGAATAGGATCATCAAAACCTAGCTGTATATACATAGAGTTTCAAATTGTGTTCTCCAGGAGCTTAACCTCTGCTGCATAGGCTAGTATCACTTTCTGCCTATTCACAAAAATTACCTGAATGCTGTAGGAGCAGCAGCAGATAATGCTAGGGTATGCAAGTCTGTAATATTAATTTGTGGATGTACATTAAAAGAAATTCACTCTCTTTCAGTGGGTGCCTGGAGAAAGATTGTATATACTTTATTGCAGAAGATGATTGCTCCCTCACTTAACCAATACATCAGTTTTGCAGATTTCCTAACATTGTCAAATGTATAGATTTCCTGCTGGAGAAAGTACAGGAATTTAAAACATCATCCACTGGAAAAAAAAAATGTCCTGGACTGGTAGAGCTGCAGTTTTCATTCTTGCTAATTCTGTCACCAAATGGCTACAAGTCCTTTCAGATTTTGACTCGTATTTGGTCCAGCTGGCCCCAGCAGAAACCACTGTAACCCTGCAGAGGGTCCACAGAAAAGTTGTTTGTTGGTCTGAGTAGGTCTATTAAGCTGCAGCATCATTTGCTTAAATATTGCTATTTTGCTACACTATTAATATACACAACTTGCCCTGGGAGAGCTTCTTATATTTGCCCTGTTCATTGGCATTACAATGGTAACTGTCTACTGGGGTGAAAGGTAAAGGACAAACCCTTCAGATCTACTGGTAGATCCTGGCAGTAACCTACTGCAGACTGCACTGCAAAGCCACACGCTCTTTCCCAGCTACAAAAGCCCATCAAATGAGTTAATTTCAGATGGAACCTCTGCTAAGGTTGGGGGAAAAAATGGAGGGATTTGGTTGAAAATGCTATAGAACTGCATCTTTTCAGCCGGTTAAAATGTTGAAGGTTTACACCCAAGAGAACTCCCATCCTAGAACAGCCAAATCCCCCAGTGGTTTGTAGACTTCCTCTTGGACGTGGGAGTCCTGGGTTCAAATCATTCGTCCTTTATCTGACTGAACATCTGTTTCCTGCATCCCAAGAGAAAGTGCCTCAGCCACCACATTATCAGCTATTCTGGGCTGACCCTCTCTCAATACACCTCCTACTGCAAGTGGTCCGCTTTAGATGAAGTTATTACATATTCATTAGACTAAAGAGAGACTGTAGCCTAACACTTTGGGTTTAAATCTCTGCTTCAATAATCTATACTCAATTTATAAGTAGCATGTATACATCTGTCTTGCATCTGCAAATACTTGTATATTTACACTTATCTAGATGAAGGGGAAGGTTACTGGGATGGGAGGTAAGAAAAGGCTACAAGGTCAACATTTATTCCAGCAGTGTGGTCTGAGATGGTTAGGATGAGGGAGAGGAAGAAGCATAAGGGATCCAGTGCAGTCTCCTTTTTCATCACCACGGTGGTGGCTGAGCATTCATTGCAGTGTTAGGACATGATGACAATGTTTCAGCAGCAAAGTTATTTACAAGGTTCTAATGGCAAATTACTTATTCAGAGGGCTTGTCCCAAAAGTCTCGTAGTTCAGTAATAAGGTTAAACGATTTTGAAAGGACCTAGGAAAAATAACAAGAGAATCAATATCTTGTTCTGCTAGGACAAGTGGTGAGAGATTTCTAGCAGCAAATGAGGCACCGATTCAAATAAGAAATGTAGTAAAAGCTTACCACTGAAATTAAAAGAAAAATAGAGATTGCTAAGAGAGGGGGTTCAAAATCCAATGGTGTAAACAACTAGCTGGCATAACATTTTTAATTTGCCCTGTTCCCAGATTTTTAGTTATCATTTATTAAACTAAATAGAGATGCCAACAAGGTGAGGGAAATCAAGTGATAAAGCATAGGCAAGAAAGGAAAGATGGTCGCTGTTAGAGAAGCAGGACCAGAGAGAGAAGGCAGTTGTAAAGGAAGTTGCAGACTGAAGGGTGCTTCTGGGCATCAGGGTTTTGCACAACACCTACTGCCACCATTTCTGTGTTTCTGTGATCTATACTGAATGAATATTTACATCAAATAGGCATCAGGATGGAAAGTGGCCATAGAATAGATCACTGGATAGATCACAGAAACATAGAAATGGTGGCAGTAGGTGTTGTGCAAAACAAATGGGCAACAAGCCATGTGGAATTTTTGCTTACTGATTTCCAGTAGTTGTGATCCGATTCTTTACCTTTCCTTCCTTCTACAGGTGAACGGAAAGGATTTATCCAAAGCAACGCACGAGCAGGCAGTGGAAGCCTTCAAAACAGCGAAGGAGCCCATCGTGGTACAGGTCCTGAGGAGAACACCACGCACCAAGATCTTCAGCTCTTCTCATGAGTCTCAGCTGGTCGACATGGGCACTCAGACTGATATCACCTTTGAACACATCATGGCTCTCACCAAGATAGGATCCCCTACTTCACCAGTCTCGGTGTTAGATCCATACCTCTTACCAGAAGAGTAAGTAGCAATTTTCATACAACATACACAAAGCCCTGCTAAACACATGAAAGAGAGGATGGAGACCCCCTCGCATATACCAGCAACCCTTCCTCCATCAGGAGTCCTCACTGAGCTCCCACACTGTTGAGCCATAATTCATACGAGCAAATTGTACTGTTCCAGTACATTAGTGAATCACATGACTAATCCCACTGAGGGCCCCACTGGCCCTATGCAACTCCTTTTCCATTGTCGTTTTAAAGGTAAAGCTAAAGTTTCTTGTAAAATTCCTTCACTACGTCTTTGGGTTCCTTATGTTTTAACTATATTTTTTATGGCTGCCATAAATTGCATACTGCTAAGAGCCGCTACATTCTGTTCCAGCGTATTAATTACTTTATTATAACCCCACAGCAAAGTTACTTAAATAAATTATTTTCTTGAACTGAAATGACTTAGCAGTGCTGTCAAAGACATTTTTAGAATCAAATGTTAATTATTGTTAATGGTCGGTTGATGCTTTTGTACTTACAAGTAAGAATGACAGTTATCTTGCACACATGGTTCCCACCCTGAATATGCTGGGGAAAAACAGGCTCTCATAAAATCCATGCAAATTGCCTCTATCCTCTCACCGTATCAGCTTCCATGAAGCACAAAAAATGATGGAAAAGCTTGTTAACTACTTTGCCAACTAGGTTCTAGTGTGTCCACAGCACATTAAATGAGGCAATACACACACACACACACACACACACACATATACATGTATATATATATAGACACCTCCCCCCCCACACACACACACACATCAGTATTACACCAGTGTTACAAGGTTTTGAGTCTGATTCCTTAGCTTTTATAACATGAACATTTAGAGCATGGATTCATATATATGGCCTCATTTAACAGTTATGTGCTGTTAAATATCTATAGATATATATAGATAGATATAGATATATGGAGAAAAAGTGTTAATAAACATCCACGTTCTGGCTGGCGATGAATCAGAATTCTTTTGAGTGCTCTGAATAGTAGACCTAGCAGGACTAAGGTGGCTTTGAGCATAAACAGCAGACACCTCCCACTGTGCCCTTCCCAGACTCTTTTCATACAGACCCAGTAGAGTAGACAGCCAGGACAGAAATGGCCATCAATACTGTGCAACTCCTTGTGGGTTTTATAGCATGTGAATATGTGAAAATTGAACCAGAAATTGGTCCTATTCTACAACTGCAAATGTTTCACTCTTTGCATGACAGAAGAACTTTTACTATTAAATGTTTGAAAAGAGGGTTCAATTAGGATGTCACTGCATCACCTCCTAACAATAAGTATTGTTCCCAGTCCCTTGACAGGTCAAGAATGCATTTTAGTACTGCAGCGAGGGCTAGGTTTGAGCTCTCTGACAGCAAACAAGCAGCTAGGCTCAGAACGCTGTGCCTTGATGCTCATTAATTTTAACTGAGCAAGATTATATTCCTTAGAAATATCTCCAGGGAGATGATGTTAAATGTCATTACAGCCTCTGAAGAGACACCTATTTGCTTTCCCAGATGCAAGATCAAATACCATGATACAACAGGGCTATGAACTTACCAAGAGGAACTCATGAGAGAAGTAATTACAAGTGTACATACAGTCTAGCTTACAGTATGACCTAATAGTACCCTTTAAATATTAGGTATTAAACACAACTCTGGACATCATCACTATCTTGTGTTTGAACTACCTTATGTTTCCTTCACTGTGCCTGTAAAAGTGATATTCAGGCATAAAAGGGCAGGATACGTAGATACCAGGCCTATGCATGCAAATAAAAATAAATAAATAAATAAATCACTGTACTTGCTGAAGGTTGAGCACACGTGTTTTTTTCCATGGCACAATCAATGTAAAAACAAACCTCTCATGTTTATCTTCTCTTATGCCCAGTTCCAAAGTTTATTTAAGTCAGTATGACCTTTAAAGGACAACCCAGACCTAAAGGAAAATTAGATGTTTTTACTTAAGGAGCCTCTCACTCACATGGACACATGCATCTAGTTAAGAAGGAAGCAAATGGAGTGTCACTTCGATCTTGAAAGTAAATACGGTTGCTGCATATGCTACATATGATCACCAAAGCAGTATAATGCTGAAAGTCCCAAAAATGCAAGCAGTGAAGCAGTCTGATAAGAGGTGGAATTTAAAAACAAAATGCCAGTAATGGTTGGAAATTTAAACAGAGTGGAGTGCGTTTAAATTGCTAATAGTTAAATACACCCCATTGTGTTTAAATTGCCAATCAGTAATAGTTTATGGTTTTTAAATTTAAATTATTGGGAACCAAATACAAAATACAATGCTTAGCAACTGAATCATCTTATATATTTTCAGATACAATTATGACTATCAACGAGGCAGTAAAGGAAATTTAATTGTGAACACCTGGGCTGCACAAATGAAACCAAGTCTAGTGTTCTACCCCTACTCCCTTGTGAATGTCTCTCCATGTCACAAACCCGTGGTACCTCACAACTGAGAGCAGTGGGATGTCTGTGTTTAGCAGAAACCATTAGAGATGTTGCAAGCACCTCTGGGATTCTTAGCTGTGGCCATTTTGTCTCTTCTCTTGTGTTGCCTTCCTTTGTCCCCCTCTCCCACTGTTCTGATGCAAAATTGTCAAAATCCGGATCTCCATAATCTCAAGCACAATGAATTGCATCTTCCCCTCCCACTGCGGATATCTAATTCCTTCTCGGTGGGTGCATCTACACGCATGCTTTACTGCGGTGCTAACTAATTAGCCTCACAGTAAAATGTCACCGTCTACATGTGCACCTGTATTAGGGAGCAGTAAATTAGTTAACTCCACTGTTGGATAGTACTGTCCAGGACAAGCACCAATCTACAGCAGACTATTTATGTGTGCAGAAATGCAGGTGCAGACAGTGACTGGGGCTGGCTGGGGTACAAGGTTGCTGTAGTGTGGGGGATGCTTGCCGGCTAGCCCTGCACTGTAGCACCCTTGTGCCTCAGCCAGCTCCACTGCAGCATGCTGAGTCAGGACAGAGCAGCTCTGATCCCCCAGGCGCCCTGCCACATGGGGTGCTCTGACCTGGCTCAATGTGCTGCAGTCCTGGGCGCATGTGTAAACGCTGTGCCTGGAAGCAATAAACTCTAGCATGAACTGTGCCAGAGTTTATTGCCACATGACAATTACACTTGTAGACGCACCAAGAGAGACTCACTGTGATACCCCAAGCAAGCTACTTAAGGGCAATTTCCAAAAACTACTTAGATCTCTAAACAGCTTTTTCAATCTGGCGCTTAACCTCCCTGTGTACTAGTTAGTCCCTTTCCAAAGTGGAAGTATAATTATCCACCTCTTGCAATTATTGAGTGACTAAATCCGTTAATACACTCGGAACATTTCTGGTAATCCACAGAAAAGTGCCACTCCAACGTGATGTGCTACGGGCGCTCTAAGAGGAGCCCAGTAAAATTCAGACAGCACTTTATAACCCTGAGTTTTTATTGAGGAATTCAAAAGAACCATTTAGGGATGCAACATGCTGTCTATCTCCAAGCGGAGCAAGGGTTTCCATAGTCAGACAGCTTCTCCCAGGCTGTGGTGGGCCCTTTACCCTCCTCACAAATTCCTGTTTGTTTAGGAGGTTGGTTTCACACTGGGAAAAATTGCAAATGTTCAATGCAGTAATAAAAAATGGTAAAGAGGCTTTTACTTCTGTCTTATGTTTTCCATGCTTAAGGGCGCAAGACAGTTTCTATAATTTTATTGTGTCAGTGCAGTGTGTTTATTTTCATAATCTGCGCACCATGGATTACACACAAACTAGTTGGTCTGGTCCTGTTGCAACTCTCTCATATTAATGATGGCCCACCACACAACTAGGATGGATAAATATTTTAATCAGAACAGGGATTGAGATCCTAAAGTATACTTTGTTTTTCCAGCCATTCATCAGTGCATGAATTCTACGACCCGAATGACTATATGGGAGGTATTCATCAAGAAATGGACAGAGAGGAGTTGGAATTAGAGGTACTTAATAACTATAAATCATGGTTTAAAATACACCTGGTTTAATATATTTTAATGCGTCATAGACATAATATTTGGTATCAAATTACAATTGTATGTGTATATCAAGATGTTTTAAAATAATTATGCACGACAACGTTGCTCTCTAGTTATTTTGCAGACAGCAATAATTAATGCTAATATAATTAACAGTGTATGTAATTGTATGTCATGTAATTACGAGCCAGATCCTCAGCTGACAGAGACTGGCATAGCTCCATTGATTGAAGTGGAACTATGCTGTTTTACGCCAGCTGGGAATCTGGCTTCATGCAATTACGGATTTAATTACAGAATGTGAAAAATCATATTACTTTGTGGGCGGTGGGACAAGTGCCACAAGTTTATAGTAGACAATTTAAGAATTTCAATACTTCAAATGGTTTAACTCTTCCCTCCCCCGCAACTACTCTCTGGTTTGAAAACAAACACTCTAAATCTTATCATTTGAAGCTATTGCAAAATTGTAAAACAAACAAACAAACAAAAAAATCAAAGAAAAGATATGAAACCCCTGTGGTGTTTCTCCCATCTTCATAACTTAAAAATGACAGCTGTGTATGTACAGAATCACAGGGAGGCCTCTGAAGATATCTAAGGCCATCTTCCATTTTGTCCACCTTATGTTTAAATGCCCAGTCACAATGGATCTTCCAGCACTTCTGGTTGGAAACTTATGTCTCAGTGGGAAGCGGATCCTCAATTTTCCCTTTCTCAATTTTCTCACATTTCTTCCAACCCTTCTTTCATTCAAAACACAGCACAGCTATGCAAAGTAGTTTGGCAGAGTAGTTATGCATGTACTTAGCATCAGGGTTACTCTTAATCCCATCAAAATCATCCATCATTGTTTGCATACAGTAGTATATGTGCTCAGACACATGGTATGCTCATGCGGTATAACCCTACATCAGGGTAACTTTCTAGAAACCACTTTAGAGATATCCCAGGCAAAAATACACCAGTGTAAATGACAACCTGTTAGCCACTTCTATCCCAGATTAATAACTTGCTCAATACCAACAGGCTGTTACTGCCTCCCCACCCACTTAGTGGCAAAGTGCTGCAATAACAACTACTGCAGCAGCTACCCTGGGAGAGCTGGTCATCTATCTGCTGGTGTAATTCACAGCAGTGTATAAAAGTGATGCAGTTTATCCCAGTGTTAACATGTTGTGTATCCAGCCAGTCTATTTAATAGATTTTGTAGATACTGGCTAATGCATCAGTCTTTAACCCTGAAATCCAATCTATAATTCTCTGAAATCCAATATGTTTAATCCACATGGGTCTGACAATATAATTGAGGGGTTTGTCTTAGTTTGCCTCCATCACTGATACATGGTATCACTTCATTTTCCAAAGTGGTCATCACTGTTTAGCTGTGCTCCCATTTCAATCGGTGGGAATATTAATATTGACTTAATGGGGAGCAGAGTTAGCTCACATCAGAAGCATGAATTTGCCCACCTGTTTAAGTTTTTGCAGGATCAAAGTCTTAATGCACATGAAGTTTGCAAGATAGCTTCAGACTTTACACATCTAGTGGCAATTGGTCTCGATTCAAACTCAAACCGAAACTGAGAAATAAAATATCAGTGAAATAAATGTTGTCACCAGCATTTTTCCCCCCAAAAATCTCTTTATGCAGTGCCCTCTTTTTCAATATAAATTTTGATCTTAATGAAAATGTGGAATATAGTACTTTTTTCTACAACTGTCTTTTGAAAAGAGTGTCTTAAGAAACCCACAGTAATACTGTGGATAAATTATTTTGCTGCCATTAGAAGGTCAAATGTTTGAGCTCAAAACTGTTTAAACATGTGCACTTCAGTAGCTAGTCGTTAATGTGGCTTAAACCACAACATTAATAATTTTGACATTGATATAGTACTTGGTGGCAAAAGGTGATCATCTCAGTAACACAAGCAGCTGAACATTACAAAAGTCTCTGTGGCCTAATAGTATTTCTTAAGAACCACTAAAGATTCTTGCTCAAGTCTTGGAGACTATGATCAATGGAAGGGTCAAAGTGCTAACAAAGGCTCAACTGGCTAGTTGCATTTTTGTTTGCCTGTTGATAGATGTGTTTTAAAAGACCACAAAGGCATTTGTTTCATAGACTGTAGTGAGAAAGTCTAACACAAGAAAACAATCAAGTCCAGCTTCTGGCCTTGTACGTCCATAAATTGTGTTCTGAATTTCAATAAGAAGTGTCTCATCTAAACTTTTATAGCCTAAAAGGGACCAGTTACTTATTTGTAACAAGTAAAACAAGAGCAAACTAGTGAAATCCACTAGTTATTAAAAAGCTTTCTGTAGAATACCAACATGGGTTTCATGCATTCTGGAGTCATGTAAAAGCCACCAGAATTATGTACCCACAATTGTTGCCAAAAATTAAATTACTTTGTGTTCGTTTTGGTAGAAGTAATTAAACGAAGTGCTATCTTGAAGTCCTCATAAACAATGACACTGACCAAATACGGAATGAGTGTTTCATTTAAAATTAGACAACACATTTTCTTTGCAAAAAGATCCCGTCACAATTAAATTTCAAGTTCAGAGAGAAGAAAACTGCACTCTAGGATTTCCCTGCAATGTCATGGGTTAATATGTTTATTCAAACAAGACTGCCCCAGCTGTCAGACGTGCACGGAGAAGGTTCCCTCGGTATGTTAATTCCCTTAGATTACAAAGCAGAAAATGCTGAATTGAGGATGAGGGTTTGTTCTCTCCAGTTTGACTCTGCTCCTGCTACCTTTCTAGATTTCCTGCATGCCCAAGCAGAGGGCAGAGATTATATGCCTCTGTTATACTTCTCAGGTATAGGGATGGAGATGAATTCCTGAGCTCCACTGCAGTACAGTTTTGAAGAGGGCAAAGGAAGAGAGGGAAATAGAAAACAGAAGGTCTTTTATTTAAACCTAGTGGCATCCCATTTTGTCCACCCCGTCTCCCAAAACATCTTGCCTACAGAGTGGGCTCTTCCTGCTAAGAAACAACTTTTGGACAAGACTTTATGAGTACCTTTATGTCCTCTCAAATGTGCAGTCTGATGTGGTTCTTGAGGCTTTCAGTATGACATTTGAAGATGTTGCAGTGGTCTGCTTATCTTCCAAGCAAGGAGGTAGCAGGCCCCAAATACTGAAAGAAATGACCCTTAAAAGATCTTAAGGACAGCAGCACATCTGTGCAAGGAACCACTGAAATCTGCACAGCCAGGACTCTTGCAAGATGGGTTAATACAACCTTGGTTCAACTAAGGGTGCCTCAAATTCCAAATCCCACCCCACCCATCCCTACCAAAAATAATTTTCCTAATAGGGCTGATGATGATTGTGCTCTGCAAAGCTACCTGTGACTGTCTGTGGCACGTCTAATAACATGCTTCTTATTGCCTGTTTGAACACACTACCTACCCCCAACACCCTGGAACCTGAAGTTGTTTTGGGCAAATTCACATTAGGGGAGTGGCATCCCTTTCAGGCAGTTCCTCAGTATGAAGAGGCATGGATTCAGAGCAGCCATCCTCTCATGGAGGATCCTAAACACCTCACTCACCTAGAAAGATAAATATAAAGACTAGTTCTTTGGGTCTGGTCCAAGAAAAAAAATGAGCAGAAAAGTTCAAAAGGAATGACCGCAGTGCTGCAGTCAGTAAGCCAACTGCACTGTGAAGTGAGGGTTACCAAGGCTATTTTTCACCTTCTTGGTAAAGCCCAAAACCAAAGGGAATGGCAGGAAAACAGGTGGCCAGGGGAAGGGGGGTTAATACTTGAAGGCACAGCATTGAAAAAGATGATTTAAAAAAATGATTGATTTAGTTTCACTAAGCATCTGAACCAAATCTGAGTATTTTGCCCATCACAAACCATTCGTTTCAAATAAATAATAATGCTCATTTCTGCCTATTTAAGCAAAAGTCTTGCATGCAGGTGCAAACTGGCCGTAATTTTGGATCATCAGTAAAATAATTCAATAATCCATTGTGAATGAGGGTCCTTCTGGGCGTATGGAGGTTAATTTACTATTAACGCTTACTCCAGATCTATTACGAAGAGTGGTCGGAAGCATAATATCATGGTGCATATTCTTTCTTCTTCCCGTGCTATAAAGGCCGTATGGATTTCAGCAGCCAGCTCCTTGATCTCACTCTCCCTTTCTCTCCCAACTCGGCAAGGGACCAGGGTTCTTTTAGACAGCTTTTTTCTGTGCAGAGTTCATAGGGAGAAAGAGTTTCCCCTCAAGCACAGACACAGACCTAACTTTCACCTGACCTATGTGGGCAAAGGATCCAAATGCTAAGTAAATTATGTGTGTAAATGTTATGTTACTGCTTACTGGAGTTTCCCACTCAGATGAGTATCGTGTTAACACAGCAGCCCTGAATCGAGCCCATCACTGCCCACAGCCATGGTTCTGTGGCTCCGGTCCAGACCCAATGCTACCGTAGTTTCCTTTGCTTAGGAAGCATAAATTTGTCACGACTTTATGCAGTGCTCATCGCTGCAGTATTGCAACAGCTGGCTGAGTGCTAATAACACAATAAAACTGAGGGCGCCCAGGACAGTTCACTGCCTGGCTGGCAGTACAGACACTCCAGAGTGATAGGGAGTCTCATCATCTGTGCACCAATAGTGATTTTTAGACCTTTGAATTCTCAGTACATAGGGGCAAACTCTCAGAGGGCTCTGTAGATAATTACTCTTGTTTTGTAGAATCAACTCGCACCCCTGAAAATAATCTATGTTTTTAAAAATTTAGATTTATGCAATTGTATCTATAAAATCTTTCAAAGCTTTATGATTATATTAAAACTTTACTGAGGAGAAGGCACACAGAAAACAGCTGCTCTGATTTTTAAGCACACAAAATTATCATATTTAGAGTTGCATAAAATCCCAGTTTTTCTGCTTCCACCCAGGGCAGGAGGGATTGTACCCAAGGGTAAGTCTACCAACTAAATATCCATAAAAATCAGGTTCTAAACACCTGCTCTGAGTCTTTTATTTTTTTTCCAAGGAAAAAACAATTTATCTAAACACTACTTATCTAAACACTAGTTTCCCTTAACATGCATACTACATAATACACCAGGTGATTATTAACTTCAGACTATCTTTGATGCTGCATTTTAAAATGCAAACACCTGCCTACATGTGAAGTGAAACAATGCCCATTTTAATTGTCAATATGCATTATTAAACAAATAGTAAATTAAAAACAGGATATAAAAAGAATTGGTAAATAACATCATCTCCTCTTCCAGAAATGAAATGAATAAAGGAGTTACCAAGTAGGACATACCTAATAACAACTAAATATCCCCATTCTTTGGTATATTCTGTCACTGCAAAACAAAATACTGCATCTCTGCTACATTTTACTGTCCTGTACGCTTTGCTTTATGGTCACAGTCTCTGACCTGTAAAAACCATAAGACCTTTTTTTGTTGTTGTTTTTAGAGGTACCTCCACTAAGTCTCATTAAGGTACGTAGAAAAATGCAGCGTACTAGATTCTGGCCTTGGCTAACAGTGGGGTAAAATCTAGAGCAAACGCACTGACTGCAGTCACTGGCATAACTAAGACCACGCCCACTTGATCTAAGCTTTCCTGCTGAAGAGCTTCAGAAAAACTCTTCTCTGAAAGTGAAAACGCTTTAGAAATATGGAAAAAAAATTCTGCCATTAAACCAATGTGCTCAACCTTTATGTAACAAAAGAGAAGAGAAAGAGCAGCAGTTCACCATGGATACTATTGATTGAAATCATTTAAATACCATCTGAAATGTCACTGACGTTACCGCTGTTTTACAAGGAATAGTAATAAAAATTCAAACAAAAAACAAAAAAAAACAAATTACACCTGTTGACAAGTAAATAACAAGAGATTGCTGATCTTGGCAGCTGCCATCTAGACATGCCAATAAATTATTCATATCAGCTATTGTCTTCCCCCCTTATGAATGGCACCAGAGATTGAAAAGAAGAATGTTCTCAAATAACAAATTAAGTTATCAAGACTTTTTACATTTGAATACACAGTAAGAAGCCAAAGAGACTCATTCATGCTACATACAGAAGGGGTCTTCTCTGTGCCCCCCCCCTTATTGTTTGGGAAGATTCAGGGATTCCTACATGCCCTTTTGCCCAAATTTTCCGTTTTCTTAATTGATTCCCAACAGCAAGTCTCTATCCCAGCACTTTTATTGCATTCAGCCTCAGTTAGGCTACAGAAAACCTCTGCAGACCTCCTGCCATAGCACACCCCAATAGTCAGCTGTCAGGGACTCGTAAAACATTTTAGTACTCGTGTCTACACGTAGCCACTGGTGGAAAATGGAGCTTCCATTTCTCACGGGAGAAACCCTCCAGACTAGCATGGTTGCATGACTGGCCACAACGTGGTTCTGCCCTGAAAGGTCCTGTCGTCTGTGAAGTGCAAGTCCTTTCAACTCTCTGAGGACCTCAGGACTTCCACGGATGCTATTCATGGGATGAGGAGACAGCTGTGATAGCTGGGAGCTCTCCCCTCTATGGGAATCCTTGGTCCCACGTCTCCACTAGCTCTACAAGTCCTTTCCCCTGGTAGAAGACTGCAAAGCAGCCATGAGCACAGGGAGAGTCTAACCCAGGAGATTTCTTTGCAGCAATAAAGTCTGGATTTATTTATTTATTTTTTTTAAAGGAGGCTTAGATGTCTCCAAAACCAACAGGGTGACCAGAGAATACTAAAAGGGTATAGCATTGCTTCACCCAAGCCCTACCAAAATACTGAAGGCCAAGGCATATTTCTACAACTAGTATCCAATGCATTTCTGAAATCTATAGATCTTGCTCCCACCAATGTTTCTGTTTCCTTTGAGCCACTTATTAGTCATTCTTTTCCGACAGTTACAAAATACGAGGATTAAGGTAACAGAGTGCTGTCCTCTTTCAAATCAGTCAGAAAATAGTGTGTCAAAATTCTTCATTGCTTACAGAAAAATATATACTAGCTATGGTAAATATTGCAATAATACATTCTGAAGTATTTTAGCATTTGAAGTCTTGCCACTACATGAAATATAGGTAATTTTTCTTCTTTAAAATCAATAGAAGGTCCATTTTCAAAATGACTTTATATTGATTGAGGGGTTAAAAATGCCCCGAGTATTGATTGCCTGTACATAATCACTTTTTGCTCAGTACGTTAACTTGGTCTACACGGTAAAATGAAAAGAGATCCAGTATATCATTTAAGCAAAATATTTTCATTGCATTTGAAAAACTGCTTTCATCACTCACAGATGTGTCATTTCTTTGCCTAGGAGGTGGACTTGCATCGAGTGAACAGCCAGGACAAGCTCGGCCTTACTGTCTGTTATAGGACCGATGACGAAGATGACATTGGTATTTATGTAAGCGAGGTAAGATTGAGCAGCTTGACACAAGATACAATTTGTCTTTTAAATGGCAGTGGTGGATTTAAGACAAATGCCATCCTTGCTTCCATTCATACCATATCTGGAGCCCTTCCAAGAACAGCTGGAAGTGGAATAATATGAAGCGAGCTGATTATTTTTCCTTTTCTCCAAACTGCAAGTGAAATCCTGGGCGCGTTAAAGTCGGTGGCAAAGCTCCCATTGACTTCAGCAGAGCCAGGTTTCCGCTTTCTATTTCAGTGGTGTGCACTTCAAAAGACAAGACTGTACTCTACCATAGCAAACAGTTTTCCTCCAGCATTTCTCATCTGTTTCTTTTCTTCTGTGCTTTCCTCTTCAGTACTGACATATATTTATGTACATAAAATACAGACTGAAGTGTTTAATCAGCTTATTGTGATGCACGTCAGTGTGATTTTCCCCTTGGCGCTTCTTTTCCAGGAGCATTTAAGGAAAAAAAATCTCTCTCAGCACCTGTGTGTATAATCCACAAAGAAAATGGAGGTTCTCCTTGCTTCTCCATAAATAATAAACAGAAATTAGTACCTGATCCATGTTCACGCAGATAGTGCAACAGCAAAAATCAACAGCTTTTTGCATGGTCCCACTGATTAACTGCGTCTGGCAGAAATGCCTGCTTTTCAACTGTGCCCACATCCTCGGGTGGCAACCGGTGGGGATGAAAATGGCAGTTCTGCTTATTATGACGATGGTCCCTTCAGTGAACACACTTGATTAACAGTCCTTGCAAGTCCATCTTGAGATAATCTTTGAAAGGGATTTCAACCACCCATAGAAAACTGATGCATGTGAATGAGAGGAGGCCTGTACTTCTCCAGTCACAGCTGTGAACCACATCATGTGGTCTATACACAGATAAATGCTACCCTGATTTACTTTATACCTGGTGAGGATTCTTCCTTGTAATCCTACAGACTAAGGCCCATCCACCAAATTTCCATAAATGACAATCAGTTTGAAGCCAGCTTTTTAGAGACATAAGCAGACCATTCGTTCCAACTCCCTATTTTGTTGAAGCAGCTTTTACAGCTCTGGTCCCTGTCACCTCTGACGCACATGCACACACACGTGCCCACTCCTCCATGCACTCAAAAGGCTTCAGCAAGAAAGGTCTGAAGACCTCATGGCTTCCATATATTTTGTAGCAAGGCAGCATCAACGAGTATGTCACATTACACAACCTCGAGGGCTGCATTTGTGCAGAGAGATAATGAAGTCCTAGGATAAAACGTCTTGCCCCAAGCTTCTCCAGCCAGCCTTTCAATCCTCTCTTTTGGAATAGCACAGCTCAAAGTAACACTTCCCATTGTCGAGTCCCGCAAGTTGCTCTGTGGAATGGCTAAGATACCATAGAGATGCATCAGGTTTGGTGGTGGCCTCCTCATGGGTGAAAATCAGGAAGCACGTCCTCCATTTCATGGCAGTTAGTCTGGATTTACAATGGTGGAATGGATGGCAGTGAAAAAGGCAGCCAGGGTGAGGTAAACAGATTTCCTTTCATGGGCCTGATCCTGCGAGTAAGTTAGTTCACTTCAGAGAGAGAACAAAGGAAATGATACCCAGCACGCTCACAAGAACACCCCATCATTACCATCCTGACGATAGGGATCCTTTTATGGTATGACTCCTTGCATAAGTTCCCTAGGTTCTACTTTAATAGGAGTAATATTGACTATATTAAGCAACCCTGGGAGCTCTTCAGTCACCCATTTTAGGGTCTGCTTAACTGTTGCAAACTCTTTGAGATTCTTTTAGAGGCTGGAAAAAATTAAAAGCTACAAAAAGGTACATAGAAAGGAAACCAGTTGTGACTTCGCAGAAATCTGTGTACAACTCCTGATGGAGTCACAAATACAAGCAGTCAAAACTTTACGTTCACTTTTTTATTTGCCATAAAAAGTGACTTTTTCCATGTTTCCACTTGGGACAAAATACAAGTTTTTGTCTGAAACCCAAAAACTTTTCAGATGAACATCTATGACAAGATAGTGATTTTCCTAGCCAGTGCAAGCTGTTCCTCAAAGTTTGGTAACCCCTGCACTAGCCTATTCCAATCTATGGACAATGCCAGGGTAAATGCTTTAACTGGGGTTTAATCCTAATGTCCTCATACTTACCAACCTAGAATTCGAAAATTTACTTTTATGTAGTTGTCAATTCCACATTCAAAACTGCCAATAATATATTAATGTTCATTGCATTTCATTTCTGCATTAATTTTTTCCTAAGTGATATAAAGAGAAAACCGCTCCAAACATGTTTATTCCTAATTCTGCATTGCAGGTAAAAGACATACAGGCTCAGATTACAGCCCTGCATGTAAACATCAAAATGTTAAATAACAAAACCCAATTAACTCATGCGATGTTTAATACAAACCTGGTGTATTCTTCGGTGACTCATGGCATGAAGAAAACATTTTGTATTTTACTCGGACACTTTCACTTGCGTTTCACCCCTTCTCATGAAAGCAAGTGAAAACTCTGTAATCATTAGGTGAGACGATCCAACCATGGACCCAGCATCTCTATATAATACATTACTCGCATCATAAGCATGGTTTAAAATGGGAAGTGAAGGACTGAGCTTTTAAACCTCCAACACATTTACAACTCTTCTGTTTTGTAGATCGATCCCAACAGCATTGCTGCAAAAGATGGTCGTCTACGAGAGGGAGATCGCATTATTCAAGTACGTCGTGCAAATGATTGAGAGCTTGATTGCATAGCCCAATAAACCACAGCCATTCAACTGTATACATCAAATTGCTTCATTAACTTTATTTTAGGATCACTACCATGGGAGTCATTCCACGATTGCCTGATACGTGTAGCTTTTTCAAAAGATTTTCCTTTGAGCTCCTGTTTAGCTGGTTTAGTCAAACCCCTAATGGCTAGATTTTGGTAGCCTCGGTCATGTGGAGTAAGTCCTATACTAACCCAAACAGGAATGGCTGAGTAAAGGTTGATAAGCCATTTTTGCACTGAGGTGAGATGTTAACCCTCCACCAAAGATACCCGCCTCATTCCCTGGCAATGATGGATCCTTTCCCCCCTCCCTAATCCCGGTCTGCACTGGAACGTTTTACCAGTACACCTTGCCTTTTTCAGAGATGCTTGGCACACATTAACACTGAATTCTGTCTCCCTCTATTTTTGCACATGGCTGCACCCATTTTCAGTGCAACACAAGCATTTTCTTTGCAGACAAAGAGCCACACTCTGGACTCCTATACAGGATCCTCCTACTGCAGTCCCACGGTGCACATGCTTTTTTGGAGCAACCGATTTGGTAGCACTTTAGTACTCTGCTGCCAAGGGGTCCTAGTGATCAGATGTCCAATTCATGTCTAAATGCCAAGCAAATCTCCATAGCTACATACAGCCTCCAATCAGCAAATCTGCCACAACACCTACAACTTCATCAGTGACCTGATGAAGAACATCTTGCATTTAAGGCTTGCCTAATTTTATTCCAACCATGTAGCTGGTCCAATAGAAGATATCACCCTCCGAAAAAAAAATCCTTGCCTCCCAGGTAATTCCTTGGCTATCGTGGCTACAACATCACTCTGACAGTGCCATAACATTTACGTACATTCTCCACTGTTGCAGATTCATGCAGGGACACTACGTACCATGTTTCATCCCAGAATCTATCCAGCCAGGCAGCCTGAAAGAAAATGTGCATCCAGACTAAAGGATTTTACCCTTTTGCCGATTCTTCTTTATTCAATATTTTAGATTAATGGCATAGAAGTACAAAACCGAGAGGAAGCTGTGGCACTCCTCACCAGTGAAGAAAGCAAGAATGTCTCCTTACTTGTAGCAAGGCCAGAAATTCAGGTATCATTGCATCCAGTACACAGAGCTACCTTATATTTACCATAGATTTAAAACAGAGAATCTGCTTCTTAGAAAAGTAATAACTCATTTTTTAAAGAGGGTTAAGATTTCTATTTAAAAATGTGTTCTGCAATTAGATTGGATGCATGCAGCATCTGAAATAAGGGAAGTCTGAGAGTTCATGATCTTTACATGACATTTTGCAATTCAAGTTTCATGAATTATTAATATGTGTTTCAGTCTGGTTAAAGACATAGCTAGTACATGTTACAGATGGTTATAATCACATCACTAGAAGGTGTTACAAATGATTACAAGCTGCAGTTATAAACAACCTATTGAACTCTATAGTAAACCCCCAGCGATTGTTCAATCATTTATTAAAACATCATTAATCATTTAGTAGCTTTTTATAAACCCTCGCTAAAGTGCAGCCTTAAAGTAAAGTGTGACTCGCATTTTGGCTAAGTCCAAGCTGTTTTCTCAGCTGCAGGGTTTGGGTTTGACACAAGATCCTTGACTCTTCCTCTAGGTCTGAGATAAGAGGCGTCATGCTCATTCAGCAGCATTTACTGCAATTATTAGTGGGGATATATGTCTGACTTTCTAATAGTGCTTGCCCATGCTTGGCATAGTTCGGGCTTGGGCTGGTGAATGCAGTGATACCCACTCCCCCCCTTTTCTTTCCCCTTGAGATAAGTGGACACGACACTGGGGTGGAGGAGAGATTGTTGTCAAGAATAGATTTCTATTCTGATTGACAGAACAGCTAAATCAATTACTGTGGGACAGATTTTACTATTGGAGAGCCAAGCACCCAAATGCAAGGAAAAGATTGGGAAGATTAGTGTTTGCACTTAAGAATAGCTCATGCAGGAGACATGCACAGTTGAGATCACTGTACCGTGCCTCCCTCAATCTCCTGTTAATTTGCTGCAAAGAAGTTGCCTGTGTCTGTCACGTTACATTCATATTTGGAGTGTTGTTGCTGTTCCCTGTCCTGCAGCTGGATGAAGGCTGGATGGATGATGACAGAAATGATTTTCTGGATGACTTGCACATGGACATGCTAGAGGAACAGCACCACCAAGCAATGCAATTTACTGCCAGCATACTTCAGCAGGTAATGTTGTGTGATGCTGTCAAAACCTCACATTACACTTAGGGGGTCTGATACTGAACTTGGCTGAATGTATTTACCGGGACTTTTAATGTGAATTTTTGGTTTGTGCTGAATCATGATGTTCCATGACTCAAATCAAGAATCATGTAAACCACATGGAAAGTCAACAAGCAAAGCCATTTTCAAATCCTCTCTCCTCCCCTTTAACACAAATGCAGTTCAAGGCTTTAATGCCCTTTCTTATATTCTGGCTGTTCTACACTGTTCTGGCTTTGCTCTTTGAAAGAAGTCAAAATTAGGTATGTGGGTGTTAAGAGGATGGACTGGAGAATACTGAAAATGAACAAATGTCAGTATAAAATCAGGTGAAAGATAAAGAATTCTCTATGTAGAAATATTTAATCCTAAATCAAGCGTAACATTCTTGGTAGTGAGAGGTTTCCTCCACGTTATATACAGTGTTTGTACCACTCAGCTTGGTAGTGGTTAGCCTCAAGCTGGACTATGGGGCGCAGTTCTGGGCTCTACATTTTCAGAAGGATTTAGAGAAACTAGAAAGAATCCAGAGCTGAGTGGCAAAGGGGACAGAATACAAGCTGGATGAAGAACGATCAAGAGCACTAGGTATAATCGGTTTGGTGAAAAGGAGATTAAGACTGAACATGACAGCAGGTTTCAAATATTTGAAAGGATGCCATAAATAAGAGGGAGAACAGTCATCCTCCCCTGCTGCACAACATACGATGCAGAGCAGTTGGCTTAAACCTCAGCAAAGCAGATTTAGCCTAGGTCTCAGGGAAAAAGCAAAAGAACTTCCCTGGAGGTCCCTTCCAAACCTGCGATTCCATGACTGTGATTATGGTGACGACTATTACAGCAGCACTTACAGAAGTGGAAACCCGATGTGGCATTCGGCATAAATACACGGTGTCTGCCTCAAAGGCCTCGCAGCCTTAACAGATGAGGCAGGCAGCCGATGGGATAACAGGGGGGAAAAGTTTATATGTGAGCAGGGATCCTGGTTTTCTCTGATAAATAAAAAAAAATAAAAATCACAAATTGCAAATTCTCTGATAAAAACCCCAAAATCCGCAATTAAAATGAAACGCCTATATAAAAATTGTAAATATATCAATAGAACACTGTGTTCAATTGATAGATATAGATATATAGAGACATCCCTCTATCTCTCTATATATCAACTGAACACAGTGTTTTATTGATATATTTACAATTTTAAAGCAGTTTGGAAGCCTATCAGTGCCCATATCACTATAATAGAATAAATTCTAAATACCTATACATTTTGGTTTTTGTTTTTGATATTTCCGGAATTCTGCCAGCCTGTAGAGAACTCTTTGCAAAAGTGCAAAATCCACATGGTCCTCTGCCAAAATGAAAAATTGGCGTTTTTCTTGGGGAAAGGGGGAAATCCGTGTTTTTCTCTATTTTCCCTGTGGGAAGCAGAAAACCCAGAAATCTGGTGCAATAATTATACAGTTGGAAATCTAGTCCTGAGCTTTGTAGAAAACCAGAATATGGTTTTCTACAATTACCCTGCCTTGGAGTTCTTTCAAATGTAAAATTTTCTATCTGTGCTGACTAGAAGATGCAAAGAAACTAAACAGCCATCCATGGCAGAGTGAGAAATCTTTAAAATTGCTCTAAAGCTTTTTTCATTATTATTATTCTTTAAAACTTGCAGACTGTTCACCTGTAATTCTTACTGTTTTACATTTCGGTTTTTGTTTCCAGAAGAAGCACGATGAAGATGGAGGTACCACGGACACCGCAACAATTTTATCCAACCAACATGAGAAGGACAGCGGTGTGGGACGCACGGATGACAGCACTCGCAATGACGAGAGCTCAGAGCAAGAAAACAACGCCGACGATCACACGACTTCCTCTAACACTTTAGGGAGCCAGAAGAAGCTGCCATACAGTCACGACACGCTTGGAAGTGGCGACATGCCGTTCAGCAACGAATCGTTTATCTCGGCTGATTGCACAGACGCCGATTTCCTTGGCATCCCGGTAGATGAGTGCGAGAGGTTCCGGGAACTACTGGAACTCAAGTGTCAAGTTAAGTCTGGCAACCCCTACAGCCTCTATTATCACAACAGTGCCCTGGATATAAGCAAAAGCGACCAAGAGAGCGTTGACAGAGAGCTGGAGATGCTGAATGAGGAGCTGAGGAACATCGAGTTGGAGTGCCTGAACATCGTAAGAGCTCATAAAATGCAACAGCTGAAAGAGCAATACCGAGAGCCCTGGATGCTCCATAACAGCGGGTTCCGCAACTACAACACGAGCATTGACCTGCGCAGACACGAGCTCTCTGACATTACAGAGCTCCCGGAGAAATCCGACAAGGATAGCTCGAGTGCATATAACACAGGGGAAAGCTGCCGAAGTACACCGCTCACACTAGAGATTTCTCCTGATAATTCACTGCGCAGAATTGCAGAAGGAACCGATTGCCAAGGTAACGAGGGGGCAACTGCATACAACGCCTCCCAGAAGAATTTGCTACCTAGCTCGGAAAGTCATGAATCCAGCACTGCTAAGTATCACTCGTCTCCTAAAGATCCTGACCTTGGCAAGCAGCTGGAAAGCAAGGACAGAAAAAATAGCGATGGAAGCAAAAGCCCAACTCACTTTCAAAAACAAGGTGGCTCCTACATCTCCCCATATCATCACTCTCCATACAAGCATGCTCATATCCCTGCCCATGCACAGCACTATCAGAGCTACATGCAGCTGATTCAACAGAAATCAGCTGTGGAATATGCACAGAGCCAAATGAGCCTGGTCAGCATGTGCAAAGACTTGAATTCGTCAAGCCAGAGCGAGCCCAGGATGGAATGGAAAGTCAAGATCAGGAGCGATGGGACCCGCTACATTACGAAGAGGCCAGTCAGGGACAGACTGCTGAGAGAGCGTGCCATCAAGATTAAGGAAGAGCGCAGTGGTATGACTACGGATGATGATGCGATAAGTGAAATGAAGATGGGCCGTTACTGGAGCAAGGAGGAACGGAAGCAGCATTTGGTGAAAGCGAAGGAGCAGAGGCGAAGGCGAGAGTTCATGATGCAGAGCAGGTTGGATTGTTTAAAGGAACAGCAAGGTGCAGAAGAGAAGAAGGAAATGAATATCATTGAACTGAGCCATAAAAAAATGATGAAGAAAAGAAATAAAAAGATATTTGACAACTGGATGACAATCCAAGAACTGTTAACCCATGGCACAAAGTCACCCGATGGCACAAAAGTGTACAATTCCTTCCTGTCAGTGACTACTGTATAATCTCCATTGCTGAATTATGTACATAAAACACTACCATTGGGGTAGAATTCACTGCCTCGTTCAATGTGGCAAGTTTTTTGTATATAAGATACAGTCATCCACTTTATAGTTCAAGTACTGAACTCTACAACTCTGGGCGCTGACACTGTTGGAGAGCGGAGAGAAAGCTCACCCGTCTACTTCAAAGGCAATATTAACAGACCCTTTTGGAATACTGATTGTACGTTTTATTTTACTTTTTCTTGTTACCATTTACATGAAGTGTTTTAATATCAGCAAATGTATTACCCATACTTACACAGGTAATTTGCTTTTAACCTATATTCATATTAAAAAGTTACACATGCTTTTCTTTGCCTAAACACAAAAGCAACTGCAAATATGTAATTTTTTTTTTTTGTGAAACCATATTTTGTGATATTACTTTGCTGTTGTGTCTTTTGGCGCACAGTGCTGTTTATCAATATTTAGCTCAAGGTTTAAGCTCAAAACTATTGAATTCCTGATAGAGTCAGTCTCCTGTAATATTTAACATTTATCAAAACAGCAGTCTTTTAGAGTTAGGATCAGCATTTAAACATTTTTCTTTGTAAGGTTTCTAAAGGAAGTATATCGGTTTCATCTGAAAGGCCTGAAGCAAAGTACAGTATACCGCAGCTTTAAAGGATTTTAAAGCATGTTTGCAAATGTTGCGACCTGTTGAAAGAATGTGCATGTACAGCCGATTTGTTTATATAAGACAGTTTGTGTAATTTGAAAAGCCCATGGTAGTACCTGTTTGCTTTGTAGATTTGAATGTACTGAATTATAAAATCATGATTAGTTACACAAAATCATGATTAGTTACAAACATTAACAAGTAAATTGAAGTAAAATAAATTATTGTTTTATATTTCATATGCTACGAATTTATTCTTTACCCCAGAGTCTTGTTCAAGTTGCACTGATAGATCCGGAGCGCAGCAGAAAAGCAGGTTGCTCATTTGCTAGAGGACTGCCTGGACTGCTTGCTAGATTCTGAATCAGTATGACAAAAATGCACTTTACTTTTTTGGGTTTAAAAAAAAAAATCTTTGTAAACGTCAACCACCGAGAATTATTACAGATAAATAGTAAGACTAGAATTGGATGATAATTCTCCTATCAGCTGACAGAACATTTATTACAGGTGACCTCTGGAGGAAAAGGAAAAAAGGGACTTTTGCCCTATCCCTGCTATTTTTTGGTTTTATTTATGATAAACAAAAGTAGCCTGAATATTTGGTGTTGATTCCTCCCCAGAATGAGTAGAAAAAAAAGCATTCCCTTCCCCACTCCACTTTTCTTCTCTCTCATTCTTGTTAGAAATCCAGATGTGGTCAAGGCTGAAATACTTGAAAAATACTAAATACTCAGAGAGAAGGGTGGGAAAATAAGAGGGGAAAAGATTGAAAAGCTGTTCAAAAATTGTGTTAAACATTTAACTCCACCGACTGATTAATTTTTGGATGAATTAAGCCATTCAGTGCCCTCAGATGATAGGCAGTGTTTCATTTTGAACAGCCCTTGTGCCTCTCTCTAGGCTCCTCCAAAACACAGAGAACACACTTTATAATCTTAAGTTTGTCACGGACATACAGACAAAGAAAGACAGAAAGAGATGCACAGAAAGAAAGAAAGAAAATCAAACTTTTCAAAGTATTCTGTTCATTATAAAGAAGCAAAATGTATAAGTTATTTTTTAAATCTTTTGCTGGTCACGTAAGTGCAGTATTAAGTGTATATCTGCTATCCCCCACAGCACTCTACTCTGCACACTAGGCACCACTTCCTTGTGGAAAGTGTCCCAGCTCCACTGACATAAAATGTACAAAGCTCTGTACATTTAGCACACATGAGACTCTGCCCTTGAAGCCAATGGGAGTTTTTCTATAGACTTCTTCAGAGCCAGGATTTCACTAAGATGTTTCAGAATATTAACACCATGGTCATGACATAGCAGAAAAGATAATGTGGCTTTTACAACATGGCCTTCAACAGAAGCAGCCTACTTTCCTTCTCTGACTTGAAGCTCTTCTATTCTGGCTTCTTACCGTATTAAGCCCAAACAGTAACATTGCTTCTTATAAAGTTTAGCATTGAAAATGGACAGACAATCAAGATGGAATCACATGTCATAAATCAAGCATGAAAATATATTTAAGCCCATTCCCGCCCCTCCCACCCCATCTAGAAACTCCTAAGCAGTTCTTGCAATGCTCCCATGAGAAAAAAAAATTACATTGAGCCATTACTGTAAATAAAATGCTCCTCAGAGATAATATTTTCAGATGTTCATTCTTTTATCCTCAGTAACACAAGTGCCAAATATCATAATTATGGGATAAAGGACAGAACAGCAGGAAAAGTTTTCTGTGTTTGGTACAAAAGGTTGACATGTAGAAATAAAATATAGCAAAGCACAAACAATACAAGGTTACTTGTGCCAAGATGTTTAAATCAGATTCTTGGCTACACGCTTCCTCTATCTCTAATCCCTTTCTGGAGCCTTTTTACTGCTAAATATTTGTGGTGTGAATTTTATCATTTTTATCACATTTACCCATTAGTAGATCATTAAGATCAATCCACAGAAACAGCAAAAATCAACTTTTCAGCTCAGAATCTTGGGCCATCATGCAAATCTCTGCCAAAGTTATTCAAACTCTGGATTCTTCAACTCCCCACCTAGATAAATGGTTCCCAGACTCTTTAGACCAATGGGCCACTGTCAAACCTCAGAATTTATCGCAGACCCCCTTAGACATTTACCAAACTTTTAACTGAACAGATGCAGATCTGATGGAATTCATAGATGACTTACAATGAGCTGCTAGTGTGGCCTGTGGGACAGTTTTGTGGTCCCTGGATGTCTGTCTTCTTTCCTGTGTTAAAACTTTGATGATAGGAATTTATTGAAAGACTTAGCACTCCTAGTTTTGAAAATGTGTACCATTCCATCCCTAAGAACCATTTTTCCCATTGTTTCCAGTAATAAACCAGGAGCAGAGCGAATGCTCTGGCAACCAATTCCTTAGCCAGATCGGCTTATCTGTAACAGGAGAGAAGCTAGATGGAATAAATTGTGTTTGGAAATTAATGTAGCTCAGGAAGAGGAGGTACGGGGGGGGGAGGTGGCAGAAGCAAGTCCATTTACTTATTTCATCATCGTGCAAAGCTTCGTAAATGAATAAATCCAAAATAAATGTAAAGGGAAGACTTGGAAAGGAGCACAATAAATGCAATTCTGGCATCCTAAATGAAGACAAAGACTTCAAAGCCCTATTAAATCCAGTCCCTCCAGACTCGTTTCAGCTTTGGCTTTCTATGAAATCAAGTTCCAAAACATAACCAGCCACCCCTCCCCCCCCCACCAAAGGCACACATGAACAAATTCATTTAGTCTCTCCGGTCCCAAGCACTGCTGAACAGATTCATTTTCACAGGTTGTTGTTCCACCAGGCTGTGCGCCAGCCGGCCCTGGTAATATTGTTTTAAAAGACAGATTCTTTAGCTCTGTAAAGAGAACTTGGAAACTACCTGCAGGTTCAGCCTAGTCCTTTTCCAAAGACTATCTCTCTGTTGCATCCATGCCCATTATAACCTTTGTCCCCAGGAAGGCCAGAAGCAGCAACAGTGCTGCCTCCTGTTCCCCCATCTTTATGGTTAGATGACACAAAACTTTCTTATATCTTGGAGTTACTTGCTCTTTGCCCCTATGACTTCTCAGCAAATTGCCTCGTATAAATTAATTGAGAGCAGGTGACGACTTTTGGCTCATCTCTGCATTCAGATCTCCCTCCTGAGTGCAGGTTTAGTTCCTCAACCCCAGCTTTTGCTTTCACCCTGGAGTTGAAAGGAGCACAGCAGGCCACAGTCCCTGCTTCAAGGCCCTTAGTCTGAGGATCCCCACCAATTGCAATGCAAACTTTTGCAAGATGAGTTCTCTCGATTCAAAATAGCTCAAGGTGTGCAGTCAGTGCCGGCTTGGCCATGCTTAACAAAATAACTTCCTCCTCTTCACTCTCACCTTAAACCCAATACAAACAAGTGTCCATGGCAGGTCGAGCAACTTTCCTTCTCATCTAGTTTTCTTGTTTTCATCTCTAGTCTTTGTCCTAGCTGTACAAAAGTACTTAACGTTCCAATGGAGAGGATGGTTTCAGCTCTTTTTATTGCTCACAGAAGGAATATTGGATTTCGACTATTTATATGGTAACCTCAACACTACCATATGATTCATTTAATTTTGAACTCATTACGCAGGGGTAAATGAGACCAAAATTCAATCCACTGTGCCTAGAAGGGTTGTTTCCAGCAAAGACTTTCTGAAAATAATATGCAGTTGTTCAAGACATTCGAAAATAACCTACATTTCTATTACAGTTGCCTGAGACACTGATCCTTGCAAGAAAACCTATGTGTAATAGAGTGTCAGGAAATAATGTTTCTTGCTAAGTTCAGGTTATTCCTAAAACCCAAAGGGAAGATGTCTTGCCAAGCTGTCCATGAACTATGGAGTATCATTGTAACGTTTAAGTGGGCCTGGGGAGTGATTCGTGTGTTCGTGTGCGAATGACCCTGTCCAACAACCAGCACCCCTTCACTTTAACACAGGTTATTCACACTCCTGGAAGCACAATTCTTGGATGGGGTCAATACATGTAGAGCTGCTATGTTGTTTCAGTTAGTGAGAAAGACATCATACTCAAGGCAGGCTAAGTAAATAGTAGCCTTCTTTCTCAAGAAAATTAAAAGAATTTTAGCTGTTTTCATTTGTCCCATTTCTCTTTCACCTCCATGGAGTATATCCAAACCATGGCCCACTTCATCCAAATTCCCAAATAAGAAGAATGCTATTATTTATAGGGAAAAGGGTGCCTCTACACATGTCCCTATGGCACCGTTGTTCCTGCACCATCGTTTAGTACTTCCTTTTGGAAGCATTAATTGATGCCACAGTAACAGCTTGTACTGCGCTGTGTACGCAGCACATCATTGTTTTTAGCTGCTACATTGCTGTAGCGATGCAGTATATTGAGGGAGTGCGGTGCTACCGTGACATATTTGCAGCAGTTTTCATGTTGCCCGGTTCTCTTAGGGTCACGGTTTTTGCCTGCAGGTGCTACCTCGCCCTAGGACATTGCTACAGTGACATAGCATCACGTGGAGATACACCCATAAATTAGTAAAATAGAAAGCATGTATCAGCAGAGTCCTAGTAGCACTCTCTTGTCCCCCTTAAAAAAGAAAGATTACCAATGCTTCAGAGATTTTCTGTAACTTAATGAAGACCAAAAAACCCTCACATATTCAGATACTGGTAAGCAGACAATGGAAGAATAGAAAGTTTACATTGTAAATTTAAATGATTTACTCAAATGGACTCAAATGAGTAGGAAGCAAGAGGTCCGCGTAGCACTTACCCCAACAATATACCTAACGATGCCCTCACATCCTGTTTCGCTAGGATGAGCCAATTCACCCTGCTAAATGCACCTTTCCCAACTGTTTGACATTCTGTCACATACCCAATAAAAAAGGGCCAGACAAGTATGTGTTGCCCCTTGTGCAACCCTAATAACTTCAACGTGGCTCTACAACATAGGAGTTGGGGCAGAATCTGATCAGATACATTTCGAATACAGTTCGAATACAGTACAAATAACCTTGCTGTCAAACAAACAGGTCAATTCCCTTGCAGAAGTTCTTCTAGCCATAATAGAAAGGAGGGTCTAGAAAAATGTGAGATATTTATTTGCGATTTAAATCAGCATGGAATCAGCCAGTTTAGGTGTGCACTGAAATGGGAAAGCCCTGAACCAAATCTAACAGCATTGTGTTGTTGTGTTGGGGTTTGTTTTTTTTTTCAAATTAAA